GAGTGGGGGAGGTAGTTTAAAGGGAGTATTGTTATGCATGAACAATTGCATAATGAGGGGTAAGAGTGTAATTACACGTAATGTATATTCTGGTTATATATATTTCACAAATAATACCCCAAAGTTGCGAGTAATTTGGACCGGAGGTAGTATTATTTGTATCACTTTAATTGTTACATTTATCAAATCATACTTTTGACCATTAATATCTGTAATTATTTATCATTAAAAATTATAATTATTTTTTATAATGAAAATAGACATTGTAATAAATTCAATGATATAATAAATTAATAATGTTTATTCAATGATATTTTAAATATTATGGTGTAACATTTATTTAATTTAATGTAGTAATAAATTAAGTCAAAAAGAGTATCAGAATTATGCATAAATCAAAGTGATGCAAAAACAAAGGGAGTAAAAGTATAGGGAATAACCGTGTACAACATAATAGAAAAAAAAAAATTAAACAGTTGGGTGCATGTATTTTTTTTTTTTTTTGTTTTTTGTTTTTGTAGGATGTAATAATATTCCATTCGTTTATTAATAATCGCAACACACTTCATCGATTTTGCTTTATAATAATTACATCACTTTTGTATTTAGTAAAGACCCACTATTAATTTATTATATTTCATTAATTCCACTATCACAAATATTTTATTATTTCTTTTCTCTTCCAACCCCACTTAGCCCCCCCCCCCTTTTTTTTAACAAAATCAATTTATAAATAAAAAACATCTGACATCTACAAATGCTACAATCGTTGAGAAGACCTTGCACTATGGTACATCAGTTGCACACGTCGCTGAAATTTGCAGCATTTTAGAAAACACGATCTAACGATTTTTTAAGCCGTAAGGATAATTATTATCTGTTTCGCTTGAACACATTTGAGAGTATGATAATCGCTGCGATCCCAAACAAATTATGACTAATAATAGGGCAAAAGATAATTACTTTTTGATAAGCCATGACACATATAAACCCTAACGAAAAACAAATAACTATACTAACAAAAACAAACAACTTCACCATAGAAAGACACTACACAAGAGGGAGACAGGGACTATCTACACTACTTGTGTAGAGTTATTGAAACCTAAACTGCAAGAAAAAAAATGATCGGGGATAGTTTTTTTTTTAAAAAAAAAAATTTTATCGGCCTATACGGAAAAAAATTGTAAACCCTAGCTAGAAGAGAATAAAGAGGAGAGAGAATATATTTTAAATGTACTTAGGCCCTACTTTATTCACCTTATTTTGGTAAACTGAAATTATTTTTATTAAAAAAAGTTTTTGTCTAAAACCACCCGCTAATACCACTTTTTTGTCAAAAACCACACACCCACTTAAAGATATGTTGCCCAACACCACCCAAATTTAAATTTTTGTTGTCAATAACCACCTGACTCAACATTCTAGCTTTAACCATAGACTCCAGTGTTGACTTAGTGCATGTGACTTTTAATGACCACCCACCAAACCACATCACCACCACCACAGACCCAACCACTGTCACAACCGCCACAACCACCCCAAAAACCTAGCGAATTCCACTGCTTGAATCCACCCCTTCACCTAAAACCACCCAGAAAAACCCACCTACACAGCCACGAAATGTAGCCACCTTCACCAATCATGAAAAGTCAAAAACCTGACCACCTAAATCCACCCCTTCTCCAGATCCAAGCAAACCAACCAAATACCCACCACAACTGCTCTTCTCCTTTTCCCCAAATTTACCTACACCACTTCAAAAACCTACCCCCACCACAAGTAACCCTAGAACCACCACCCCAAATACCATGCCTTGCCTTAAAAACCCAGACCCACTACCCACCTACACGCTAATTCCCGAAACCAACCCGCAACCTTGTATTTGAGTACGTGGAAAGTTTGTAGTGGTGATGGGAAATAGCAGGTGTTGAGAAATAAAGGTGCGGCCATGATTTTGCTTTGACCTTGTAGATAACAGAGGAGAAAGAGAAAACAAAGAGGTGAGAGAGAAGAGATTGAAGAGAGAGAATGGAGGGCACCGAATTCGTAGGGAAAAAAGAGGGGGGGGGGGGAGGGGGAGGGTTCATTAAAAGTCATATGCAAGTCCCGTGGGGTAGGTCAATGCCGGAGTTTTGGGTCAACATTGGAATATGGAGTCAGGTGGCGTTTACAACAAAATTTTAAAATTAGGTGCTCTTGGCCAAATATTTAAGTGTTGGTGGTTTTTGAAAAATATGTGTTTTGAACGAATGGTTTTACACAAAATTTCCTTACTTGAAATTATTTTGGTTCAACTTAGGGTCTGTTCTCATCGAATGAACTCAACTGAACTGAAGTGAAATGAGCTGAACTGAACTAAACTGAACTGAACTGAACTGATCTGATCTGAACTGAACTGAACCAAATTTATTAATTAGTGATTTTTAACTACGGATTAGTGATATTTGATTATTTATTATTATACATATGTGTATATGCAAAAATACATATTAAAATATTTAAGAAAAATATACTATATAATTAAAATATTTATGGAAAATATAGTAATAACATAAAACCCCAAAACATTTTAAAAATATATTCTATTTAATTAAAAAATAAAATTAGTTTAAGTTGTGTAGTACTCTCATTTTGTCAATGAGTTTAACAGTAAAAATGTGTATCAAAAAAATATAACCATTTGAACAATGAATTGTATCAATATTATTGTTATTGTTATTGTTATTGTTATTGTTATTGTTATTGTTATTGTTATTGTTATTGTTATTGTTATTGTTATTGTTATTGTTATTGTTATTGTTATTGTTATTGTTATTGTTATTGTTGTTATTATTATTGTTATTATTATTATTATTATTATTATTATTATTATTATTATTATTATTGTCGTTGTTGTAATAAGAGCTTAAAAGAATGAAATTTGGCTTTATATCATTAGCAATATCATTAGACATAAACTGAACTGAACTAAATAGAATTGAACTCAACTAAATAGAGTTGAACTGAACTGAATTGAGCTGAGCTGAACTGATTAGAGCTGAACTGAACTGAATTGAACTGAAAATAAACGTATGAGAACAGACCCTTATTATTTTTACTTAAATGATTTCTTCTTTACAATTATTGATTTTATTGAAATGAACTTACTACTCGTATTCTCTAAGGTGGAAAGAACAGGCACCAGCGGACCTACACAGAGGCAAGGGGTAGCACGTGCTACCCATCAAAAAAAAAAGGCAAAGTGTTCAATATACAACAACAGTTATTTAGTATATATATTATTTCTTGTATGATAGTAAATAGTGATGGTTCGGTGGTGCGGAAGTATGATAGAAAGGTTGAATGCATATACTGGTCAGTGGTTCGAGACCTCTTAAAGCTTAATTTTTTTTTTAATTTTTTTTTAATCCTTTTAAATGAAAACTACCCATATTCAAACGAGTTACTATGTAGAAATAGATTTCTAACCTACCATACTCTCTCCATTCATATTAATTCTTCTCATTTTCATACATATATTTTTTTTAAAGCTCGTATATAATCATTAAATTATTTAGTATTAAAAAGCTATAATCTAAATAGTACTCCATCCGCTTTTATATATTTGTTTTATTTCTCTATGCATGAAGATTTAGGAGAAATTAGAGAAAGTAAAAAAGTAATAAAATAAAGAGGTAGTTAGGTTAGTAGAAGGTAAATTAGAAAAAAGAGAATCCAAAGTTAATTAAAAAAAAAATCATTTTATTAGATCTCACTAGTTGAAAATTTTACATTATATTAGTCATTTGAAATATGACTACCATAATGTTTTCATGATTATAAAGTTTATAATTGATATATTTTTATTCCAGATAATTAATTATTTTGCTTAATTTTAGGTATAAAATAGTATTATCAACATTTTTTTTGATTTATGAAATTTTTAGTAACATTTATGTAATTTTTATTCTTATTTTATAGTTTCTCGAAAAAAAATATTATATATTGGATTAAAATTTTCAATAAATATGTATGCATAGTAGATATAATAAGACTAATTGTGACCATTTTATAAGGTGAAAAAAATAAACCAATCATATTGTATAATATTAAAATAATATGGTAGTCATTTTTCAAACGACTACTGTAAAATCATCCCATAGTTAAGAGAAGTGAATTAAATATTGTAAAAACTTTCGAGATAAGGAAATGGAGCAAGACAACAAGTATTTTAAAACGGCCGGAAATGAAAAGTGGAGCAAGCATTTTAAAACGGAGGAAGTATATTATATTATATAACGACTAATTTATGAGTTCCAGTTATTTACTGTTTTTTAATATGTTATCTAATGCGTAGTGCTACCCCTAGCTAGAAATCTTGGATCCGCCACTGAGAACAGGGAGCCTTTTTTTTTTTTTTTTTTTTTTGACGGCAAAGAACAGAGAGCCTTACACTACTTATATACAACCTCCGTTTTTTTATTAGTTGACATGTTTTGACTTTAGCACTATTCACACAGCTCCCTTTGACCATGTTTTGTTATTTATATGTAAGGAAAAATATAGTTAAGTGGGAATTTGTTAGATTCGTCATAATGTATATTTTCATAATGTTAAGTTTTTATATTTTTTGCTTATCGGTAATTAAAGATATTAATAATTTAATTTGTACATTAGCAAACGTGACGAAAGAAACGTGTCAACTAAAAGAAATGGAGGAAGTTTGTCTTTTCTACTAATTATCTTTTATGTTATAATAACATTTGTAAAAAAAATAGTGGAGGGAATGTTTATTTTTATTTTAATTTTTCTAGTAACGGCCTAAAAGTTCCACTTTTGATGATATGAGTCACAAGACAAACATGCTCACACCTTAAAACTCCTGATATCTTACCTTAAAACATTGAAACTTCTTTGACTATATAATTTCACCCCCAAACACCATTTCTCCAATAACCCCCCAACAAAATAAAATTAATTCATCCCAAAACTCCCCCAATTTCTCCAATACAAAAACCATGAATTCCAATTCCAATTCCAATTCCAAATCAAATAAAAAGATCAAAATTGATCCACCATTCGAATTCGAATATGATGATCGATTGAGCGCACTTCCCGACCCAATTATCGTCGACATTCTCTCTCTCCTCCCCTTCACCGCCGCAGTAACCACCGGAATTTTATCGCGGCGGTGGTTTCACTTTTGGAACCAACTTACAACGTTTCGAGTCGATACCGATACCGATACCGTCCCATTTGGGTGTTACAAGAAGTTTTTCAGTGTCATGGATGATGTGCTACACCAGCTTTCTTCGCCGGAGATTGAAATCTTTGAATTTCAAGCTCCGCCACCTCCATTTGATTGTTCTGATCAATTTAAATCATTAGTTGAACACATTATTGACCGCCGTGTTAAGGAGTTTAAGGTAAATTTCACAAACCATGATTTTTTTGATCGGATTCTATTGCCGGATTTTGTGCTTGAGAGCAGGTCATTGAAGGTTCTTGAATTAGGGTTTGGGTTTGATTATAAATTGCCTGAAAATGGTGTTAATCTTCCGAATTTGAGAAAGCTTGATGTTAGTATTTATGATGATAATATTGATTTTTTGGGAAAACTTGTTAAATGTTGTCCTGTCTTAGAAGATTTGCAGATTGAAGGGGAATTGGTGGATTATGAGAACTCGATTGAGATATTTAGTCTGAATTTGAAGTTACTGCGGATAGGAATCGTTTCTTATTCGCCGCTTACTAAGGTTTTGATTGATGCTCCTAAGCTTGAATACTTCAATGTGAGTGGTCCTAATTTGCTCAAGTTCTGTTTTGCTAAAGTCCCTAGTAAATTGTTTGATGTAGAAGTTTGTACAACCTTTGATGGGGGTGTATCGTCGAAAGGTTCTCTCGAATGGGAGCTTGTTAGATCAATTGCAAATGTTAGGACCCTTGTTCTACAAGGGAATATATCCCCTGCCTTCTATTACATGAACAAGTATCCATTGCCGGTTTTTCAAGGCCTCGCATCCCTTGAATTGTCCTTGCATTTTCCGACATTTTGGAAAGGGTTGATGCGCTTTCTTGAATTCTGTCCAAACTTGCAGATCATTAGGTTGCAACGTATTGATTTTGCGTGGTATGGAGCTGGTTGGGTTGAACTCGATATTGTTCCAGTTTGTTTGTTGACTAAGGTTAAGAGCATAATGTTAAAGGATCTTGTTGGAGTGAAACATGAGTTGAAACTACTTGGTTACATTCTACTGGTAGCAAAAGTTTTAGAAACCCTTCAGATTACTATTGCTGAGCCTAAATCTGAGGAACATAAAAGCCTTCTGTTACGCAAGGAATCCGAGTTTTGTCAACAATTGTACAGGTTTCCTAAGAGTTCGATAAGCTGTCAGATTAAGGTTGTAAGTCCTGTATCTTCTTATTAACCCAATTTTGTTGCCCGACAAGTTAAAGTTATACCAATACAAGTTTCTGCTATCATAGTGGAGAACTAGATGCAAATTATAAACTAGAATTTATAGTGTATTGCCTTCCCCTTAACGCATATAGAGCTCATCAACTGCTATAGTATCAGACTATCAGTACCTTACAGTGAGCTATATTTTGGTTATTGCTATAGTTTTGGGAAATCTTTGTATATAAAAAAAAAAGGTGAATGTAGCTGATTAGCTAATTTGAGTTGTATGTTAGTATATAGGAAAACATAAAATAATAATAAATAAAAAAATCTTCTTTCATGATATATGTGAGGAAGTTGAATGTATTTTTTTTTTTTTTTTAAAGAAAAAACAATTCATTGCATAGTTGGATTATCTGAACGTTTTTTAGATATGTTAAAGAAGTGAAGGTTATAGCTATGTTTGGGAGTATGATTAATGAATTAATGATTAATCTTTAAATCTAGAAATAAGGATTGAATAAATGGCTACACTTTATATTTTGGCAATATTCACAAATTTCACTTCGATCATCTTTGTGATTGTCACTCAACATCATTCATAATCTTTATGTCACGCTGAATTTTGTTACCATGTTATGTTTAGGGTCTATTCATATTTACTTAATTTCTGTTCTGTTCAGTTCATTTCAATTCAGTTCCAATCAGTTCAGTTCAGTTCAGTTCCGCTTCATCAGCTCCTAATTTTCCTCTCTCATAAAATATTCATTTCATCTCTATTCAGTTCAGCTCAGCTCCAATCACTTCAGTTCAGCTCAGTTGAGCTCCAATCAGTTCATTTCAGTTCATCTCAATTCAGTAAATGTGAACAGGCCTTTAATGATCAACTCAACCAAAAGTTTGAATGATAGTTGAAGCATAGGATTGGTTAATTGGTTTATATAATTATATACTCTTCAGTTTCCTTTTTTTTATACTCGCTGGAGTTTGCCATCACTGGTATGTAATTTTTGGTGCGTTGGCATATGATCTTGTTGTTTCGATTCTTTGCAAGTTTATCTAAAGAGTTTCGCCATATAAGGTTGGTAATTGGTTTGAATTTGCTCATCGTTTATGTAAATCTTGCTCCTACCTTGGAAAAGTTGAAGCATGCTACACTCTGGCATATAGACCAATGGCGTTCTACTTTTGGGAACACACAAAGTTGTGCTATTATTACAAGTTTGACTATATTGTGTTAGAACAAAATTAGAGGATTAAATGATAGAGATCGAATGTTACTTGTGTGCCTGTAACTTAGGGCTTGTTCACATTTACTGAATTGAGCTGAACTGACTGATTGGAGCTGAACTGAACTGATTGGAGCTGAACTGAGCTGAAATAAATATTTTATGAGAGAAGGAAATTAAGAGCTGACCTAAACTGAACTGATTGGAGTTAAACTGAGCTGAAATAAATATTTTATGAGAGAAGGAAATTAAAAGCTGAACTAAACTGAACTGATTGGAGCTGAACTGAAATTAAGTAAATATGAATAGGACCTTAATATTGTTTTCCTGATAATTTATTATTGCACCTCTATGAAACAATAGGGTAAACAGGATAAAACTATTGAGATACAAAAAAGTGATTAATTGGTTATTTTTTTTATTTTTTTTTTAATCCAAACCAATCTACAAGAAATTTGTAAAAACAAAGAGAGAATACTCGCTATTTATTCTTGATCATGCATTCTTAGTTCAAGTTAGTAAAACCATGGGATGTACATGAAAGATTGTCCTTCAAAAGACACGCCTTTTTAGTTTTTACCCAAAAGACATCAAATGAACTTAGGCTTCGTTCTTTAAAGCTACACTGCTATGCTCTATTTTCAAATAATAATTAATAATAATAACAATAATCATAATTAATATTTAATAATAATAATTAATATTGTATTAGTGATAATAATTTATTATTTTAAATAATTATATTAAATATTAGTATGAAAAATAATTATAATAATTAATTAATAATAATAATAATAATAATTAATAGTTATGATTCATCATAATAATTAATTATAATAATAATTAATAATTCAAAATATAAAGCATTAATATTTAATAATATTATTAATTAATAAATTTCTAATAATTATAACCATTCTTTATAAAAAAATTATAATAATAACAAATAATAACAATTTCTACTATTTACCGAGAATAATTATAACAAACAATTAATATTTTTTTTATAGGGAATAGTAATAAAAAAATATTTTTTGAAAAGAAATACTTAATATTTTATAATAATGCTAAATACATATTTTTATTTAATAATAATAACTAATGATATAAGAAGAATAAAAAAAACTGCAAAAAATTATGTGCTTTAAAATATTTGATAACAACGAAGATTAAAGCGACAATGAAGATGATAACAACAAAGATCAAATCGACAATAAAAATGATGAAAATGACAGTCATATGGAAGTAGATTTTTAATTCACCAAGGTGTTAACCTCTTATATAATTATGTTCCTATTTTGATATGCAGTTGTAATAATTTGAAGATGTTAAACTATTGTTTTTTTTTATCATTCTACTATTAGCATATGTTAAATATGGTACACATTTATTTATGTTTTCACTCACCTAAATCAATGATATATGCACTTAATAATAGTAATAAGGACGACAACAACAACAACAACAACAACAACAACAACAACAACAACAACAACAACAACAACAATAACAAAAATAATGCCGAAATCTGCTCAATAACAATAACAATAATAATAAAGTCGAAATCTGCTCTGCTCTGCCAAAATCTAAGACTTCTATTCTGCTCTGAAGCTCAAAAAAACAGGCCTTAATTGTAGACAGTACAATCATTAACTACTTATATGTTATAAGTTCATGAAATTTAGCAAAGGACAAGTATTTTCATGCAAAAAACACCAACGTAAGTTAATATACAATTATGTTTCATTGCTATATTTCTTTTTTTTAATTTCTTTTTTTTAAACATTGCTATATTTCATTTACTTACGCTCCCTTTATAAAATATTATACCATATTAATAATTTCGTAAACTCCCAATGATATAAATGTGAATCCAAAAAGCACGTTCAATATAATAAACAAAAATTTACCCAAAATAACACCACCTTTAGACGATCTTTCAATAATACCACAACCTTTTGATTATTTCAAAATAACACCACCTTTCACATGCATTTGCCAAAAATAGTACAAAAACGGTTAGTACCTGATTTACAGGTTACTTGTGGCAGATGTCATAATCTCATAGGTTTATTCATATTTTTTATATATAATTTTGATTTAAAAAATAAAAGAAAAACAAGAAAAATAATTTTAAACACCTTAAAATTAATTAAAAAAAATAACCCCCCAACCCAGCCCACCCTCCATTGCCCAGCCCACCATTACAAGAAAAATCTCTTTTCGTAGCGATTATTTCGTAGCGATTGTACATTCGCTATAATATACAAGTATGTTTGTGAAATAATTAAGGATGTTGTATCATTTTTACAATTGCCATGGTTTTCCCATATAAAATCGATACGGAAAACATAATAATACATATTAACACTATTTTTACACATTTATATAATTTTGAGAAATCGTAACATTTACAATCGCCACTAAATCCTAAAAATCGATACGAAAAGCCTTTTCAACACTAAATATATAAATATTATTTGACAAAGAATACATAAAATATGTCATAACTTATTGGTGAAACATTTAATATAAGAGTTTGAGGTTGCATGTTCGAATCTTGTAAAGATCATACGCGTGTTTTTTTTTTGAAAAAAATAAGTTAAACATTTATAGCGATTGTAATCGCTACAATAATCACCACAATTGGATGTAGTTTTTCGTATCGATTATTGAGGCAACCCCAGCGATATTGAAAACCACTACTAAAGGCTAAGGCACCGGGGGATATAGTATCGAATGACCATTCGTTGGGAAAACACTTTGTTGCAATTACAATCGATACTAAAGGTTAAAATAATCGCTACGAAAAGGTTATTTTCTTGTAGTGCACCCCCTCCATTGCCCAGCCCCCTACTTCGCCGAAAGACACTAGGCTCCCCTTCCCTTCCCTTACCCATTTCCGGCACCCAACTACCTTTTTCCTTTCCCTAAAATTACCTTCTCAAAACCATAACCAACCGGAATTGCCTTTATTAGAGGGAGTGGATCAAAATCAGGGAAGATAAAAGGGAGAGGGGTTGAAATTTTCTAAGGGAAAGGGAGGGGGATGATATCGGGAAAAAAAGAAGGAAGGGGGCTGAAATAAGGAAAGGGGAATAGAGGGCGTCGGAAAGGGGTCGGGAAAGGAAGGGGGTGCCGAAAACGGGGTTAGGAAGGGGAAAAGGGGTCGAGAAGGGGATGAGGGTGCCAGAAAAGGGTCGGGTCGGGTAAGGGAGGGGGTGTTGGAAAAGGGGTCGGGAAAGGAAGGGGGTGCCGAAACTAAGGTCTAGAAGGAAGGGGGTGCCGGAAAATGGGTCGGGAAAAGAAGGGGTGCTGAAAATGGGGTCGGGAGAGGGTGGTTTAAGGTGGGGGTGGTGGATGTCGGTGCAAGGGGGTGGGCAGAGGGGGTTGTGATTGTGGGAAGAGGGGTTTATTTATTTATTTTTAATTTTTACATTTTTAGTTTTTTTTTTGAAACAAAAATTAAAAAAACTAAACTGATAAATCATACTGGGACACGTGTCCCAAAGTTACCTGTAAAACAGGTGACCGATTTTTTGTTTTATTTTTGGCAAATGCATGTGAAAGGTGGTGTTATTTTGGAATAATCAAAAGGTTGTGCTATTATTGGAGGACCGCCCAAAGGTGGTGTTATTTTGGACAAATTTTCCTTTAATAAATGTTAAATGTTGTTGTTGTTGTTTTTTTTAAAGCAAAGATAACTAACAAAACAAACAAAACAACAACTATAATTAAAAAGACCAATAAAGAAAGCGGTGATCACGAGCACCAACAACCAACCAGTGCGCAGGAGCAA